GGGTGCTACTATTGAGAAAGACTACACCCTTGATAGGTGCTACTATTTGAGAAACACAGCTCCCTTGATGGGTGTTACATCACCAACAAATTAATTAAACATAATTATTAATGTATAAAGTTGTAAAATTATTGCTATAAGTATATTACTATTGAGAAACTCGATACCCTTGATGGGTGCTGCTATATTGAGATGCACCCTTGATGGGTGCTACTTGAGAAACACGATACCCTTGATGGGTGCTACTATGAGATAGACCACACCCTTGATGGGTGCTACTATTGAGAACTTGGACCACACCCTTGATGGGTGCTTCTGTTGAGAAAGACCACACCCTTGATGGGTGCTACTATTGAGAACTTGGACCACACCCTTGATGGGTGCTACTATTGAGAAAGACTACACCCTTGATAGGTGCTACTATTTGAGAAACACAGCTCCCTTGATGGGTGTTACATCACCAACAAATTAATTAAACATAATTATTAATGTATAAAGTTGTAAAATTATTGCTATAGTATATTACTATTGAGAAACACGATACCCTTGATGGGTGCTACTATTGAGATACACTCTTGATGGGTGCTACTATTGAGAAAGACGATACCCTTGATGGGTGCTACTATTGAGAAAGACCCCACCCTTGATGGGTGCTACTATTGAGAAAGACCCCACCCTTGATGGGTGCTACATCGTCAACAAATTAATTAAACAATTATTAATGTATAAAGTTGTCAAACTATTGCAAAAAGGCAAACATGGTTAAAGATAAAATTTTTAAATTTTCCAAGGAACTTCTCCGCACAATTTTGTAATTAAGACACAATCTTACCAAGCATCAGATGGGAAAGGAATGAAAATCCCGCCGCTTGGAAGTTTACAATAATATATGGTTGTTTTTTTTTCTAAATAGCCAACTTTCTCGGGTGTCGGAAATCTGACATTTCCGAAATCTTAAAAAAGAAGAAGAAGACTTTTAAATTAAAACGCGAACATCCTGAAGGGTGAAATATATCAATCGGGAGAAATTATTGGAGCGGATCCGCGAAATCGAAAAAGCTAGTTGTCAATCATTTGTCCGATAAAATATGTAGGCCTATGCGGGTAGAAAATAAGACGATAAATAACGACCTACGGAAGCGGATTGAAACTCCGAATTTTAATAGCGGTGGAACACTCGTTCATAAAGAGTGCAAGTTTGTGTTTCGTACGTGTTCGAGTTCGAGAACCGTGGAATTGGAAAAAAACTGACTGTCAATAATTTTGTCTGATATATGTATACAGGTAGAATATAAGACGATGATAGTATCGACCTACGGTCGCGGATTAAAGCAAGCAAAAAGCGGTGGGATGTCCCAAATAAATACTTTAAATCATCGGGCGTTAGGCCTATTGAGAGAAACGGAAATTAACAAAAATTATCTGTTGCCACTGGGAAAATATCGAAACGGAAAACACAAATTAGTGCACGGTGTTAGCGAAATCATCATTTTTTGTTTTATATCTTGTTACAGTTTTGAGTTAAAAAAATGTAGATGATGGTTTGGGAAACCATTGTTGTGTGGTAATTATTTCTTTTGTAGAGGGTTTTGATTGTTTGAGCAGTAGACGGGAACTTCCCGTAGCTCAAGAATCATTTTTTTTTCATTGTGTGTGTAATTTGTATTTATTGTTAGATTACTGCCTCGGGTGTAAACGAGTATTTTATGTCTTTTCTTTTGTAGACCCCCCCCCCCATCCCAAGACACACCCAACATACACTGGCTGGTATTCTTAAAAATCGGATAAGGGTTTTGATTGTTTGAGCTGCAGACGGGAACTTCCCGTAGCTCAGGCCGGAATCCCATGTGGTTTTTTTTTTATTATGCGTGTAAATTGTATTCATAGTTAAATTGCTGTCTCGGGCGTATTAAGCAAGTATTTTGAATAATTTCTCCTCCATATTTCAATTGACGTATACTTTAAATGTGAAATGTGAAAACGAAAAATTCGCAGTTAACGAAAATTATTGTGAAATTGTAAAATGTCGAATTATCGGATACGGGAAAATAGAAAGCCGGCAGATATGTGAGGGCGCCCTCTTTTTGGAATTGACGCAAATTGTTTAACGACTTGCTTCCACACGGAAAGCAAAATGCGGTTAAATACAGAAGCGAGACGAGAGTACACGAAGAGACGCCAAACATCAGCAATCTAAACAGAAACGAAAAATGAGTGAAATTATTATTGAATGTAAATCATTCTTTTTTTTCTCGGAGATACTCTAGGGGCATGTGTACAAATCTTTCTTTGTAGAAAGTTTGGTAGAAATTCCCCCTTTTGCCACTCCCAACCTAGATTTTGTCTGTGTGTGCAACTCAATCTTGTGTAGAAAAATCTAGGGACATGTGTCTTTTGTATACGTTTTGTAGAGTTTTGTAGAGTAATCCAAAAAAACTTTTTAACTTAAACAGTGGTCTTTCCTTGAAACTTGACCGAAATTCGTTGTGCAGAATACATAAGGCCATGTGTTTGACATCCAACTTAAATTCCATTTTTTGTAGAAAAGTCTTCGCTATGCGCGTAGCCTATACGCACTGTAGACTCTCCCCGTGACCTCATGTGACCATATCCATCTGCAAATGAGATGTTAAAATCTGCTTTTGTAAAACTCCAGGGCCATGGTATACAAAAACTCGCTTTTCGCACTTTTAATTGCTGTGTCTACATTTCCTATATTCCTTGTATAATTGAGAATTGTGCCAACTTATTTAGGGTCATGACGTGTTGCAAATATTTTCTTTGCTGTTTTGGAGAAAATATTCCTGCCACAATCGTTCGATTGTGAACAAAGTTACACGAGCACGACTGTTCCGAGTTCGAATGCGAATAAAGTCACACGACTCAGAGTTCGAGTTTGTGTTCGTCGGGGTTGGCTAAGAGTACGTATTATACTCGATCGTGTTCGAGTGCGAACATAGCTCGCATTCTAGCTCCAGTCCGAGCAAAGTTACACGAGTACAAGTTGGAGTTTGAGTACAAAAATATGTTCACGAGTACGAGTAACTAAAATGCTACCACTTTCTAAATTTGAATGATTTTTGGTGGAAATATGGTAGGGCCATGTGTAGTAATCTTATTTCGTCATTCAAGTTGCGTATTTCTTTTTCAAATCAAACATTGCTCTTGAATCATTGTTAAATCTTGCACCGTAATACCTTCTGCTTGTGAGTTAGTTACTTATCGACCCTTGTTGAGATTTTGTTACGTGAAATATTTTAGGGCCATGTGTGCAAATCAAACTTTTAAATTTCAGTCATGTCTACGTCTTCTCATCGTTCTACATTAATATGCATTGTGCAAAATATTTTAGGGCCATGCATATTCAAAACCTTTCATCGCCCCTTTCTAGAAATTTCTGCCAAACCGTCACATTTCTGTCTCATGCTTTCTTCTGTAATTATGACATAGGGCCATGTGAGCAAATCTTACATATACTTTGTAGATTATTTTATTTTCCCGGTGATGGTTTATCCATACTTCTCCGACATGAAATAGTCGCTGATCCTTGTCGAAAATGGCATACTGACGTATAGAGTATTGCGTATGATTTGATCTTCTATTAGTTATCCGATCTGCAAAGATTGGTAATGCTATAGTGTTAGGGCCATGGTGAAAATGTTGCTAATAATGATCAGGTGATGACACCTGTTACGTACGTCGGATACATCCCATAATCACTTTGTGAAATATCGCTGAGTCTACAGAGTAAAACATAATGGATCATTGGTTTAGTTTAAGACCCACAAGACCAGTGGAGATTTTGATCGACTTTAATCATTTTTTTCCGATAAGTCCGATCAGCACAGTACAGGTCGGCAATGTGAATAAAGCTTCCCTTGAACAGGTTCGCGTTCATGTGTGCTTGCGGCAAACTTGAAAAAGGTACGCTATCTAAGAGACTTCAGTTCGCGACCAGTATTTATACTAAGTTGTCCCATTCGCGCAAACTGGAAGTAAGTTCGCGACCAGGGGGCCAAGTAATCTACTAACTTGTCCCTTTCTCTACGGTTGGACCCATTTTACAGTGGTCAGGTAAGGACCACTAAATAATACTACATGTATTTACCTAGTTAGGCCTAGCAATCTATCTTTCATTCATTGGTCAGGTAAGGACCACTAAATGATAATACATGTATTTACCTAGTTAGGCCTAGCAATCTATCTTTCATTCAGTGGTCAGGTAAGGACCACATTTTACCTGTATTTTCACTATACAGCGGTAAGTTGACCAAGAAGTCACTGTTCATTTGCCATTTCTACATAATGGTTGTATCTTTCATTTATTGGTCAAGAAAGGACCACACTTTTTTTTTTTTTTTTACCTATTTTCACTACCGGTACATTACCACGGTAAGTTGACGAACTGATATCACTATATATACCTTTTCTATGGTTGCATCTTTCATTCATAAGTCAGGTAAGGACCACATGTTCCCTTGTTTCACTACAATACTGTGGTGATTAGACCAAGAAATCAGTCAAATCACTGTACATTTTACTGACTTAAACCTAGCTCTGCTAGGTAGACTTGTTTTCTTGTTTGTAAGTCCATTTTCAGCCACTTGCAGTTAGATTATGAGGACATGCCGAGTGTTGCTGTCAGATGCGGAGGAACCGGAAGCAGGGAAGAGGAACAACAGACGAACTTGAAGACCCTGCTTGCTGAGCATTCCATTACTGCTTTCTTGGGTAAAAACATTGATGATACTTTCCTTTCGAAAAAAAGTCTTGGGTTGTCTCAAGTGGTTTTGCTTGTGTCTACGATAACTGATAAGACAAATGATAAATCCACAAGAAAATTAATCTAAATTATTTTTAATAGAATAAACACTTTCACTATTCAACAAATGAAACAAGAGCAACAGGCGCATAATTATTACACACACATTTTCTTTCATGTGTTCCTTCTAATCTTCTGGCAGAGATGAGGGTCTACAAGATGATATAGCATTCTGGACAAAGCTTCAGTCGATTCCGAATCCCAAGGAACCGGAAGCAGGGAGGAGGACCGACGGAAGGACTGATGACCTGCTTGCAGGGCAAGTCTTCACCAATTCTTGAGGTAAATTAAAAAAAAGATTCAGATTTTTTTTCTTTTTCAATTTTTGTCTTCGTCTTTGGGCAGTGGCACATCTATTTTTTTGGGGACATATCTACTCTACGTGCATTAATCCGACAGTTTATGGTTTGTGCTTCGATTGTGAAAAAAAAGTTGACTGAAAATAAGATCCTTTTTTTTTTTTTATCTTTGCAGATTCCTCTAGCTTCGTGTAAGCAGCAGCGACGGGGACAATATACATCACGGAGTAAGGATGATGAAAATGTGGTCTTGAATCACGCTAACAAAATAGAATAAGAAAGAAATCATTTATTCACAAAACTAAATTAAAATAATTACCTATATGCATTTCTGATACCGTTTTTTTTACAATTATTACAAGCATTTATAATACCATTTTTAACAAACATCGAAGCGTTGAACGTTTTGTTCTACACTTATACCCTGAGGTTAATACAGCTTGATGCAGGCATTGTTGAGTCCAATAATTATAAAGGATCGTATTATACAATATCCAAATTGCGTGTTTTTCATAATTACAGGTTGAGTCAAAAAGTAATTGACCAGGAATAATGATTTTTTTAAACAATCAAATTTGATACCAACCTCGTTCCCAGGATGTCGAGCACTACGCTCCCACCACTAAACGTTTGCATATTCAAATCGTTTGGATACGTATACAAATGAGGAATAGTCTGGAGCCTGCCTGTGCTTTACATCAGCGTTTGTTTTTGTATGTGGTATCTGGGGTAAAAACAAAATCAACTCGTCGCGGCGTGAGTTACGAAATCACAATTTTTTTTTTCAAAGTTAAAGTGTTTCAATCTTATCCAGCCAGATGCAGTATTACATTTCATATTAATCTGAGCATTTGGAAAGGAAAGGAGTATTTTTGAGACGGTGTGGACGTAATAATTACAATAAACGTGAAAACACGTAATACACGTTGGAAATAACAACACCAAGTATGCGATATAAATCCATTACCTGCTAATTGCGCTACCGAATCAGGATACAGGAAGCAAGTTCCCACCCCAGGGCTACTATTTGAAACGAGGTTGAAATCAAGTAAACCGTGTGGACGAGGTTGATTTGATACAGTGTAGCAATCTATCCTGAGTTACAATTGCGAACAGGTGAAATGAGAGGAATGGCAGTTAAGTTTACAGTAAGTACAAAAGAAAAGAGGAAGTCATTACAAATGGCTATATATACTATCTACATCGATTATGCCTATTCAAAAACTTAATAAACATTTACGTCTATAGCATCAAAGCTTTTTCATTTACATGCCACATACCAAATGCCTTAAATTTGCTCAGTTTTGCTGGGTGGCCGCGTATACTAGCAGCATGCATCACTACCGTGGGGTGGTTTTCCTTCTGCCACTTCGAGTCGAAAAATGTGGGCCCCCATGGAAACAGGTTCTCCTCCAGCATTTTGATATTCACATGTACGGGTTTATCAGCCTTCAGCAGTCCGTTCATGACTGATTGATCGGCAGTGTAAGATCCCTTTTTCTTGTTGCTATCCAGTACTCCAACCCACCCCCTCACAAATTGGATCGTCGCATTGGTCGGTTTCAGGTATATGAAACCAGCGCAGAAGTCCGTTTTCTTTATTATTCTGGTTGGGGTGTGGCCTCGGAGGCACATGTCAAAATCTCCCTGGAAGTGTGGAAAGGGATCCCGAAACCAATACGTGTCGGAGTCGGAAAACAGCACCTCCAGGCCCTGTTCCAATAAAGCCAACATGTACGACTGGCGCTTGTTCATAATCCCGTAGTACTGGCTGCGATGGCGACGGGGGTGTTCTATGACGTCCATTTCCCCCGAGTTGGTTAGTTGGACATGTACTGCAGGGTCGCTCTTGGCGTACTTGAGCAGCAGATCATAAGCCTTCCGATCCTCTGCGATGACTGTGGTGTTGATGCAGACTCCAACCCTTCTGACGCTCTCCAGCATGTTCAGAACGACATCCACAAAGGCGAGGTTTGCCGTGGTCAGCATCACCACGCCGGGTCTCTTCTTGATATCAGCAAGACTACAATTTGAAAGAGGTCCGCGAAATACCATTGGAACTACTTCATTAGTCTGGGAAACAGTGGGCCTTGCTGTAACAAATATCTCCCTGGTTTCATTCGGTTTCCGCTCACAGTGGCTCTGTGCACGCAGTCTCTCGACTGGTGTATGCACGCTAATAGGGCTTCGATAGGAATCTGGAAAAAGGTAAACGTGTAAACAAACGGTAAGGCAACAGAAGTACCTATTGTCGATTTCTTTTTTGTAAATGTGAAATCATTTGTTTTCCTTAGTTCAGAGTTTAGGTTTTGTCTGTCTGATGTCTGTCTGTCTGTCTGTCTGATGTCTGTCTGTCTGTCTGTCTGTCGTTCTGTCTGTCTGATATCTTGGTGTCACATTTTTTGTAAAAGGCCTAAAGAGGGAGGGTACATCAAATTTTTGAGCCACGTTTCTGAGAGACCCATAGCGGAGAAGTCAGAATGCCGAAGCTCACTTCGATTATAGGTCGCACTGGTGCTAAACACTCCATAAAATTGTTTCATCTGGCTTGCTGCCATTTAGAAGAAACCAAGAAATGTAGCTGATTTCCAACGATCAGTCAATGGGCTGATTGTTGGAAGTGAAGAGTGCTATGGACGAAATCGAGTTCCGTGATCAATAAAGATTGTGCATGGTTTAATTGAAAAATGTAGTCTACTGAGCTGAAACTTCAACAGGTGTACGTTAATTCTTGAACATTCTTCTTTGGATTTGAATGGTGCTATTATTGAAAACGAACAACATGTATGAAAAGCAAATGCCACAATAAAATGCTATCATCAATTACTTACTAATTATGAATAAGGTGAAGGCTGCAGACTGTAAGAAGAAGAGGACCTTGTACAAGTTTTCCACTGCCATCTTGTCCGAAGTATAACCTTCGGGAAACCATACAAAATATTAATGAATTAAGCATTCTGTACACTACAATTATACTGTACAGTGAACATGATATTCAGTGAACATATATTCAGTGAACATTATTATACACGTACGTAGCACATATGCATTGGCATGGCACACAATGAAAAGCAGTCATTCAAATTAATAGTGCCAATATTTTGTGGTCGACCATGGAGGACTTATATCCCTCCATGGTCGGCCAAACATATTCCAAACAGCAAAGTTTATCGTTGACTTATGCTTGGCCATTTCCCCTACCTTCAGAGATTCGTAGGTGAAGTACCCGGAAGCCAATATGTTTACAAAACAACTCCAACGATTATAGTTTGAAGCGATTTTGATGAGGAAGTACACACACTAACTCGAAGCTACGGAAGACGGATAGTGCCACTCAATGAGTGTGAATTTATTTTTTTGGTGTGTGTGAAAATATTTTTTTGTACAGCGGCCGCCACTTATTATGTGGCGGCCGCCAGATAATAAGTGGCGGCCGCCACATAAGTCGTCATAATAAGTGGCGGCCGCTGTACAAAAAAAAATATATTCACACTTTTTTATGTGGCGGCCGCCAGATAATAATAAGTGGCGGCCGCCACATAAAAAAGTGTGAATATATTTTTTTTGTACGTGTGAAAATATTTTTTGTACAGCGGCCACCACTTATTATGACGACTTATGTGGCGGCCGCCACTTATTATCTGGCGGCCGCCACATAATAAGTGGCGGCCGTTGTACAAAAAAAATATTTTCACACGCACCAAAAAAATATATTCACACACATTGAGTGGCACTATCCGTCTTCCGTACGAAGCAGTCATTGTACAGTCACTATACGCTGGCAATGATGTGTATTGTGTTCATATTTGCCAGACTCCGCTAAGGCCAATAAGCGCTATAGAATAGTGAGGAAAATGTCATATCACACAAAGGCCTTAACGCATGCACACGCACACATCTCCACACTCACCGTAGTTTGTATCCTTGTGCAAACATTCTTGTTCTCGTGTACTAAAGTTTTCGAGTTTGAAAATGTAGTTTCAAAATGCTCTTATTTTAACCAGAATTAATTTCCTTGGCTGAAATTTGGACTTAATATCCCTTTTCTAAAACTCTTCCATTTGCGACGGATCAACATATCTTGGAAATTCATAGTTTTTGAGTAAAATCCATATAATCTGTTTCGTGAAAACATTGTGGAGACGTATTCATCTAAATTGCCCTGTGGAGACGTATACAATCTTTTGTTCCCTATTGTACACACGTCTCCACAAGGATACACATTTCAGTAGGGGCCTACACATGCATCCCCACACAATAGCTATTATTCGCATCGTCTATTGATATTCAGATTTTTAGGGGACGGATGGTATATAAAAATTGGTTGAAAGTTCATGGCCGATGATATTTTGTTTGTGGGTTTATCGGGGGAAAGTCTATGTAATAAACCACGGCGATTGTGCCGTGGTCTATTACGCGTGAACAGACTCGTTGATTAAAGGTAGAGTCCATCATTTGCAGCCATCCGAAAAGTAACTGGCGTAATTATTGTTGAAAAACTAACTTGGTTGAAAGATAGTAAGGAGACTAAACTCCCTGTGAAATTATTCTTTCTGGGAAGTTGTCATTTTGAAGTAATCAACGAAAGAAGGCATTTCCAACGGTGATTCTTAAGAAGCACCGTAGGAAAATTTAAATTAGTAGTTCGTTTTGTTATTCAGCGCAGCGCGCACAAGTATTCGAACGACGCACACGCGCGCGCGGTTGTTATAATTCGTCGGATCAGTGCGCGACGTCGCGTATACATGTTTGTAGTTGCAATTCAAAACAATTCAAAACATGATTCAGCAACTTTTGATTTGAAATTGAGATCTTAGAATGCTGTTTTTCTCGGAATGTACAGCTGAAGCTTAGCTGAAACTTCATCAGGTTAGTTGCTCAGTATCCTTCATTAGATTTTGAACTCTTTTGTTGCTTCAAACGAACAAAATGCACAAATTACAAATGATGGACTCTACCTTTAATTAGCCAAGACCCCGCCTCTTGACCTCCTAGATTTTGACCAATCAGTGAGCGCTTTCTATATCAGGTCTTCTGTCTTTCACCCGTTGCGCGTCATAGACAATGGATTGAAAAAAATGTGGCAGCCTTGGACATTATTGTCAATTCGGACCATCGAAACACAAAATGTATTGACACCTTATCATGCAGGCATAATTTGCCCTCGAGTAGCGGCTGGTCAGCTGACTGCGTCAAGTCGCCCCTCACAGATATGCTCAAGAATTTGGTTCTTTATTTCTTTATCCCCACTGATAATTTTTTCCAACCTGCAAGTGCAAACAAAAAGTCCACCCAGCTAGCGGGTGGCCGCGCGCCGCACTAAGAGCAGCATCCTGCAAAATATCGCATACCCCGTCCGCCTTTAACAGCGCCCCCATTTGTCAGATTGTGTCTAGCTATTTAGTTCTAGTGTTTTCATTAACGCGCAGGCCAAACTTTGCGGTGAGTCTATATTTTTGTGTCAGAAATGTTATTCGAAATGATCATAATTTATCATGAGTCTCGGCTGTTGCCTATGCTACATGTATATTTTAAGGAAAGTAGGCCATTCATCGACGGTGTTAATTTCATCACGATCACGATGACCGATATTTACGATAACATAAAACTGCATGACATGCATGACACAGGACAGGCGTACGTGCCAGGGACAGGTCAACAAACATGAATCAGCAAATTTCAACTTGTTGAAATTCGCTGATGAATGCCTGAATCACGTTCGTTTGCCTGTATCATTATTGAGTGTATGACTGTATGTGTATTTGTTTTGTTGTTGAAACTGCAAGAATTCCATATATTATGACCATCAATCATCCCCTGCAATGACCTATCAACCATCAGAAAGCGAGAACATGCCTTAAAAAGTCAAGTTTAGCAGGGAAACTAAGTCTCACTATTACTAGCATGACTAGCGTTGGTGCACTTGGTGTCAAGTGACATCCAGGTATGTCCAGGGTGACAAGTGATGGCCAGACGTCTGGAATTTCTTTCTTATAAAGATTCCCATGTCTGCAGACATGGGAATCTTTATAAGAAAGAAATTCCATACCTGCTCAGTCACATCTTTTCAACATGTTTACAACAACTAACCTTGATTGAGATGATTATGGTAATCCTTACTTTTAGGACACCTCTGTTGTACGAGTTCTGTTCAAAACTGACTTTTGCAGATGACTGTCCAGTACCAAAGTGACTTTTGCAGGCTAAAGAAGTCTTTTTCTTCAGACAAACTCATGTTAGTTGTAATTTTGAAATCACTTTCAAAGAAAATGTGACTTTTCCTCATTCAATTTATTGTATGAAATGATATCCTCTGTTGTTAATTAAGAATGCTTTAAAGTTGCCAATTTAACCCTTCGTTTACAGATTTCAATCCTGCAGTTTGCAAAATCCGAGGAGGCCTACTTGACTTTTGTTTACGGCCCTCCCAAGTTATTGACACGATGCCGAACAACACCCAGTTCTGTCCCGGCAGCACCAGCCTGGTACCTGTATGGGTAGACAACGGCCTCAACCGCTGCTTTCTGGACACCGTCGTCACTTCCGTCCTCCTCTTCCTCATTCTTGTCCCCGGGGGCGTCCAGATCCTGCTGTTTCTGAGGCGGGCGGTGCTTGTTGAGCAGCGGTTCAGGGTGAGACCGCTGTGGTTCCGTCTGCAGGTGGCGCTGTCGGTGCTGATGGTGCTGCAGTACGGCACGAGACTGGCTGTGCTTGGAGTGTTGGGTACGTATTAGCGTGTGTGTTTTAACCGTGCCAGCAGAAAAATTCTGGGCTAACCCTTGTAAACACAGAATCCTTAATTAGGCGATTGTTCAGAAATAATTGAAACTAAATTTTTTTTTTGAATTTTTTTTTTTTTTTAATGAGATGTAAGGCCCCCCAAATAGTTCTGCTTCAGATTACATTGCATTTGAAAATAGGGTAGGTAGGTAGGGAATTGGGGGGGGGGAATTTATTTTTTGTACCATCACATGGAGGTGTCTGCGTGTAGTAAAGGGTGAAAACCCCTCATTACATTACCCCCCCCCCCCCCAAAAAAAAAAAAAAATTGGGTGTAAAAATAATTAAAAATGTTCCTACTGGCATTTAAGTTGGGAAATAATTTATTTTATGTTTCAACAGGCAATGAGGACGACAGAGTAGACCTGTACGGCTATATGGAGCTCAGTGCCTGCTTCTCTATGGCTTGCTATCTCATTTCCATCGTCATACTAACCATGGAGAGATCTCGCACGATGATGAGCCGCCGCCGACAGGGCCACGGATTCGTCCTCCTTCTTTTCTGGACGTTGGCCTTCGTCAACGAGAATCTGGCCTTCATCTCGTGGCTGAGCCCCCACTGGTGGTGGGGTTTTGACAGTGAAGTTCAGCAGGCCGAGCTAAGCCTGTGGATCGTGCGTTATTTCTGCACGCTGCTGCTGTTCGCTGTCGGGCTCAGGGCGCCGGGCTTACCACGGAAGAGCTACACCTTGCTGATCAATGAAGATGGCAATGAGGAACAAGAAGTCGTAAGTACATGTACTAGGTCCGGTTTTGTGACTTTGTTAACCGTGTAAGGTCACAATATTGGGAACCAAAAGTGGGACATTAGAGATTCGAACTAACAGAGATTTTCAAAAATGCGTCTTTAGACGCATCTTTGGAAATGGCCTTCTTTTAGTGTTTTCTTCAAAATGACAGCATGCCAGAAAGAAAAAATTCACAGGGAGTTTATTGCCATCTTTAAACCAGTAATTACTTTTCAACAGTAATTTTGTCAGATACTCTTTTGATTGCTGCCAATAATGCAATCTATACTTTTAAAAAGTTGATAGTAAAATTGACCAAGCTGGTCTGTTGTTGTGACAGCCCTTAATCGCTACAGATGACTCAACATCCCGGCAGAAGTCCACCTGGGCCGACGCGTGGACCAAGACCAAGATGGTCTTCCCGTACGTCTGGCCCAAAGGCCATTACCTACTGCAGCTACGCATCGTCCTGTGTATCTTTATTCTGGTTGCGGCACGTGTCGTTAACGTGTACGTGCCCGTCCTGCATGGAGAAATAGGTCAGTAAGATTATAAAATTGTTGTATGTTGCGATGTAGTCCACCCCCTTCCTCCAGTTGCCTTCCCAATGGCAATTTGGCATCCAGAGAAAAGCACAGTCCTATGAGTTACCATGATGACCGGATTGAACATAAAGTGTCTTTTTCATGTTTTTTTGGTTTATTTTCAACGAAAACCCGTTTTTCGCGATTGGCTGTTAAATGGAACGTCCCATGGAAAGCGAATAGCACCACCTATTGTCTGACATTGACCACATTCCGGTTTTGAACAGCGTCCCATGGTCAGATGTTGTCCTCCCCCCCCCCCCACACACACCCAAGTGTGTATTTGCCTGCAATCGGGGATCCCCTATTGTCCCTCTTTTGTTGGTACTTTTAAGAAAGACCTCCCATATGCTTTGTACATGAATCCGAATTGGGGACCTCTCGGGAATTGGGGACCCTATTGTCCTCTATTGTTCAACGTCCCCTACTGAATGCAGAAACAAACTCACACACACATCTTTGTAAACACTGGCAATCGTGGACCCCCTATTGTCCCTTATCCTCATTCCTTTGTTTGTACTCTAAACTTTTTAGCAACAGCTCTCATTGGTTTTGTACACGAACTTCAATTGTGGACTATCGGTCAATCGTGGACGTATTGTTTGTGCCCTAACCTTTTTGTCCTAGGTCCACGATTGCCGGTGTTTACATACTCCCCCCACACACGCAAAGGTTTTTCGGTATTCGGAACGGATGACGGATAAACACGCAGGGAGCGAGGCCGGAAATATCTGTCAGTGATCCGCTCGCAGCGAGCGAGGCCGGAAATATGAGTGTGCTGTCCGAGGGTGATTGCTTCAACTTGCCTGGCTTGAGGTTGAGTTAAAAGTAATCCTACGCCTCGTTCCGTTCTTGTCAAAATAATTCTGGCGTGAACTGGTTTACCTTGTATAAACACATTCTTTGAGACTAACTATTCTTTCTCTATTGTATTGAACAGTCGATGCCTTGACGCCCATCGCTAAGGGGGACAGAGTGCAATTCCCATGGCAACTGATTTCTATATATGTCTCCCTGAAGTTTTTGCAGGGGAGTGGCTCAGGTATGTTTAACCTCTGACGTTATCGCTTTCTCTGATTTTCTCTTGGCTATCCAAATTTCCCGAAGAATGTTCGTGTCGGTCGAGATCGTAAGTGGGTGCAGAATTCGCAAGCCTCATGGCCTTACTGAGGTCACCTCAAACTCCACTCTGAAGGATATTTTTGAGAGTTTAAAGGGGATCGAAGTGTCATCTGCAACACCAGCCGACATTTGAAGAAAAAAATAAGTAGGGGAAAAAAAAACACAAACTTTTGGGGCAAGCTCCATACCAGAAACAGGAGACTTTTTTTGGGGGGGGGGGGGGGCCCTAAGAGCCAATAAGGAAAATGGTAACGTGCTGCTTGTTGTCAGCGTACTGGACTCGAATTGAGTGCGCTAGATGAAGAAAAGTTTTCTGCATGGGGACAAAGCCATAGTCATATCTCTTTTGTGACTGTGTGTTGCTCAGAAAAACAAGGCATATTCTTGTAGGAATCCCAACTGCAGTACTTTTTTTTTTTACCGACCGTTGTACTTGTTTTTTGTTTTGGTTGCAGCTGGTATTGGTCTCTTGAGCAATGCCCGTGCCTTCATCTGGATCAAGGTATCTCAGTACACAACCAAGAGTATTATGGTGCGGCTCTTTGGGCATTTGCACAGGTAGGGCAACGAACTGACTGGAGTAACGTGCAGCCTGCTGTACTCATCATGGATATCTGTATGGATTTGGTTTATTCATGTCTACCCAAAGTGATTCCAAAACCGTTGCATTCTAACTCTCTGTTTCGCTCGTACCCCCCGCCCTGCAAACAGGGCGCTGGGATACGCTGATGAGCTTCACAGAATCTTGTGAAGGAAGTGGCCTATGACCTTTGTATAAAGCATCTGACTGCAGCTGTTCAAGACCGCAGTTAGACAATGTGCGCAAATGCTATCCGAAAACTTCCCATAGAAATGCGCACATTCCATACCGGATGTGATTTCTGTTTCATTGCGAACCATGTGGACAAAATTTTGGGTGTCGCATAATGCAATCCGACCGTTCGTGGTTCAAAACGGAGCCTGAGCAAGTGACGAGAATTGTAAATTTACAACACAGATAAGTTTACAGAATTTCCTACATTATTACGCTTTTCAACAAAAAAACAAATCTCTGAACTGGCATAAGAGAGTAATGAATCAGTCGTAACGGCCGTTCCAAACCTTGCAGAGTCATGACCATGATGAAGCGCAGGTCACAGGTCACGCAAAATCCAACCAATCAGAGCGTGAATTCATCAGAGTATCCCAGCGTCCTGTTTGCAGGGGGGGGGGGGGGGAGCGAAACTCTGTGTTTAACCTCCCGTGCGCTCGTTCTGGCTTGGAAATTCAACAAGGCCAGCAAGCCAACTCAAAAAGAAGAAATTTCTGAAGCTGCGATAATAGAGTTGCTGCGATAATAGGGAGTCAGAGTATGCTTGCTTTTGTCTGTTGGCTGAATTTGACTAGTCACAGTGCCTATTTAAAATTATCTGACTTTTATTGACCGTACGTGCAGCCTGTGTATGGAACAGTATGGAATTTTTGACTTGAGGGTTTGAATGCATACATATAAGGTCTGTAAAGTCATTACAAGTGGATCGCAAGACAATAACTAGTCCATGTCCCAAGTCAAAGTTGTTCAAATTAGCTGTGGTAATGGCATTCCCTTGTCATTATGTTCATCCCGTGTTACTTGACTTATGATCGGATTGATTGCAGCTTATATTTCGGTGTTTCTTTTTTGTGTGCAGCCTTTCCCTGAAGTGGCATCTGAACCGCAAGACCGGCGAGGTTCTTCGCATGATGGACCGCGGCACAACCAGTATCAACAGTTTGCTGAGGTCAGTGAAGTGTAGACACAGGGTTCCCAACAGTCCTAGAAATATCCTGGGAAACGTCCTGGAATTTAAAGATGCGCACTGCTTGAGGCTAAAAAGTCGTGACAGCTCGGGTCGCGACTCCGCCCTACATACGCCCTCCCCCCCTCCCCCTTGAGGGTTAAGAAGTGAACTTCTTTGTTGATGAGTCTATTACTCTAAACCCAATTCAGGCTTTTTAATTTTATGAAAACACTGAACATGTTTAGTTGCCCAAGCCGTCAGGTATAGAATCAGGGCTTTTGAGAGTGATACACACAAATCTAACAATTCATCACCGTTTTCATGGCATGTGGTTTCCCATTTCCATTTTTTTTCAATATTTTCTCTTCTTTTTTCCATATTTTTTGGTTTCAGTTACATCATCTTCCAGATAGTTCCCACCATCGCCGACATTGTCGTTGCCATTGTCTATTTTATCACCGCCTTCAACGCCTGGTTTGGTCTGATTGTCCTTGTTACCATGACGTTTTATATTGGTGAGTACTAACAAAGTCAAACAAAGACACATCTGTTTGTCTTAATGATTATTAAAATGATTTTCCATCATGTTTAAATTTAAAGTTGCATGCCTTTTTGGTCTCGCCTGGACGAGTTTGTTCAGAAAAGAGACTATGCAATCACTGTGTCTGTACTTGTGTATGTATGTAGTATGTATGTATGTACATGTGTGTGGTATTTTGGTTAACGTTTTCAAGCACTTACTCTCATTTCTCAACTTTGCCTTTGATTTCCATCAAACTCAGGCAATAGAAATATTGTTTAAAGGGAATGTAAAACATTTGCTTTTGCTTCAATTTTCAGAAACAAATGGATTTGGAGGATTAGTATGTTAAAGCAAATATTGTTAAAATGACTTGTTTCACGTTTTGGGGCTTGTAGATGCTGGAAAAACCAACAAAATCATTCACTTTCTTGTAGTCTGGTTCCCTGACCCCACTTAAGATTAAACGGAGAATTTATAGACTTTGGGGGAATTGTAAGTTCAGGTGTGTAATCAATTGCACATCTTCACAGGTGTGTAATCAATTGCAAATAGTTTTTGCAGTTTTTGTAGCAAAGAGTTTGCAAGCAGTTTTTGAAAAAAGCCAGTTTTCTCCAACGCTGGCTGGCCAACCAGCGTTAGAAAAATACAGTTTTTCTTGAAAGTGTTGGCACACCAGGAGCCACGATTTTACAGGATGCTTTTAGACTGTCATTCTCTAACAATCCAGTAAGGTATTTTGTGATAATTTGATCATTTCGTTTTGAGATGTTTGCAAATGTTGTATCTTCCCGTTAAGTATTGTGCACATAAACAAATGCTCACTAAGAGTATTCCAGCATAGGCTATGCAGTATATGCTTCGTTCCTTCAAGCACACCCTGTCATATTTTTGAAAATCAGTTTGTAACCTTTGTCCTTTTTCCTCGACAGCTGCCACTATCGCCGTCACGGAGTGGAGGACCAAATACCGACGGGAGATGAACCTGGGGGACAATAAGATGAAGCAGAAAGCTGTAGATTCCTTGCTGAACTTTGAGACGGTAATCTCAAATTTTAGTAGATAAATAAGCCAATACAAGTTTAGACCTGCAAACACTCATTTCGACCTCTGCCCAGTTCTGTCTCATTTTACCAGAACATCTCACATTTAATCCAAGTAAGCTTTTTGATATTATGGTAGGTTACGATTGGGATAAATCCAAACTATCCTAGATGTCGTTAAGACTCATTTTGTGAAATCCGGCAACGTGCACTTTGTGTAAATTTCAGGTCAAATACTACGGAAATGAGGATTTTGAGGTCAGCGTTTACGACGAATCCATCACGTCATACCAGCGTAGTGAATGGAAATCCATAGCTTCACTGGTCCTTCTGAACTCGGCACAGAACATCATCATCACGTCGGGCCTGTTAGTTGGATCGTTGCTGTGCGCTTACTACGTCAGTGAGACTAAACTCACGGTAAGTAAGGCTGTGCCACATAACCGAATATTTGAAAATAAGATTATCCACCGAGTATCCAAATAATATTTTTACAATTAAAATTATTTAAAAAATATGTGAGAAGTCTTGAGAAGATGAAAAAAAAAATCTGCATGTTATTTAAATCACATACGATTGCATATTTAAGATCTTTCAAACATGAATAGTCAATAATACTTGTTCTTAGTATTTGATAAGCTCATTGCCAATTTTCAGTAGGTCCCACAAATTCCATTTGGCGGTCAAATTTATTTCCCAATTGGTGCACGGATGCTGTTCCTGACCGTCATGTGCAATTCCCAACTTTGTGCTGTCCCCATATAGCGTCTTCAGTCCCCATAGTACCAAGGGACAACTCTCCCCACAACTACCAAACAAGTATGTGTGTACACGCATACACCTGTTGCATTTATAGTACAGCAGTGATTCAATCGAACCAAGTTCAAATAATCAAATACTAAATTATTCAAAATATGCACACCACCAACAGTAAATACATGCATACCGCTTTTTATTGCAAGAATTTCAAGTGGTCGTGTCAAGATCAGTTGTCGTAAGCGACTTGCAAAATGTTGCGAGTGAACCTTTTTCTGTCTCGATAATTTTTTGCAGGTTGGTGACTATGTCCTCTTTGCTTCGTACATCATACAGCTGTACGGTCCTCTCAACTACTTCGGAACGTATTACAGGTAATTAGACATTCAAATTAAAGCCCAAAGGATCAGCAATTTGCATTTTGAATATTATTTGTGATTGATACACTGTATGTCCCCAAACAAGTGTTCGTCTAACGGTTTAACTATTTTTGAAACTACAAACCATAAAGTCGATTTTGAATTTTTTTTTCATTGTGCAGATACTCCTTATCCTTGGCCTAAACCCCTATGAGTTTCATCTAATTTCAGTCACGCATTACTACACATTGGTCAATTGATCTCAACAACATTTTTGGACACTGTGTGACCAAGTTCCTTGCCTTAATGAAGTTCAGTGCTAATGTAGCTGTGTTTTACCCTGCATGTTGTGAAAAAAGGCTGATGTGGTTTGGGATTGGAATCATTCGCCCTTGAGCATTAAACTGAGGTCTTGCCATGATCTGTTAGCCAGGCAAATGATTCCAATCCCAACCATTGCCAACTTTGGAAAATGATACAAAAATTTTACTTTCTTGAAAATGACAGCACAACGGGTGCCATGATTTCACAGGATGCTTGAGACTATTATTCACTTACAGTCAAGTATTAGGTTTTTCATAATAATTTGATAGTTTTGATGTTTGTAAATGTTGAATACTTCCTTTAAGAAGGGAGTCCCAGATTTAGAAAAAAAATAAATTCTAGATGTAACAGGCCCAGGGAAGGAAAAACAGAAGGGGATCCCTAAATTTAGAAGCCTTTTTTCCATTTTGTAATTTAATCTCTTCAGGATGATTCAGCAAGCATTCATTGACATGGAAAACATGATCGACCTTTTGAAAGAAAAGCAAGATGTAAGTACTTTCCTGTATTCAAGTATGGAAAAGTTTGAAATAGACCTGTCTGCACTGGCAGGGTTTGCTGAGTTGAATTTAGTCATTACTTGAAATTTCCAATAGCAGTGACAGAATTGTAACTGACACATTGCCAACCCAACAGATCTAGAGCCAAATTTATAACTCAAAGGGAGGGTCCCCCTGCTATGTGGATAGTTAAAAAAAAAAATATGTTAAGACTGAAAGCGTTTATGAGCTGTCCAATGAGACATTAAACAAAAAAATTCAGCCCACGCTGTAAGTTATAATTTTTTCAACTTTTTGAATTGGGAGCTGGTCACTTCTAAGTCAGCTCAGACTTGACACAAGTCACATTTAAGTTGATATTGACAACACAGATTGCAATCATAACCCAGCCTTGAATTCCATCATCAACGTCGTGCCCATAGTGCAACAAATGGGCTAGTTCTGAAACCCCCTCGACCCCCATGACCCACGTCTGCCTCGACCCACAACCCCCGACCCCCTCGACCCACAGCCCCCCTGACCCACAACCCCCTGACCCACAACCCCCCTCAACATACGTTCAAGCCCGTAAAAACACAGTCCCCCAACCATATCAACCCATGGAATGAGTAATTTGCACTATAAACCCCTATACTCAAAATCTTCCAAATCGAAAATGAAGCAGGTGCGCGATTCACTACGAGTATGACTGTATGAACTACAATTCCGCAGTGCCCGTGCCACATTGCTCCGATCCTGAATCAGATCGTATTCCAAATCAGAACCTGTATTTACAGCCCTATTTCGAATACGGGCCAATTTCGAATGGAATTTGGAATAATACGAGGTTTAAAGTGCTACAGTGAAGAGCAAAACGCAATATTGAATTATGCCCTTATTTTTTTTTTTTTACTGTGATTGCTTCCTTTTCGTAAATGTATTGCTGTAGGTTGCAGATTTCCCTGATGCTAAGGATCTCCAAGTCAAAAAGGGAGTGGTGGAGTTTGACAACGTCAGTTTCGCCTACAATGTAGAGTGAGTTACCTGTGGGCTATTCCATAAAATCCAACTCTTTGCGTATGTCCGACTAAATGATGTAGAAGGTCGTTATTAGGTGGTGGTACCTTAGTTTGGTCTTTAATTATATTCTATACTTATTAGATGTCACATACTAGTAGAATGCCATGGTGCAGTGGTTACAGTATTTGACTTGTGCACAATGGTGCGTGGGTTCCAACCCTGTCAGGAACATGGTGTTTGTGCCCTTGGGCAAGATACTTCACTACAATTGCCTCTCTCCACCCAGGAATTTGAATGGTTACCTAGGGTAGAGGATTGAATGTGAGCTGAGATCCACTGCCGTGTGGTCTCGTGGCTTGATGAACAATTGAAAGGGCACATTTTCAGTGAAGTGCAATTCCGAATAATCAAATTCCAAATTTTTCGAAAACGGATAGCCCTCCCGGCCTAAAGCTTGGGCAATTTCAGATGCAAATCCAATTGATTTGATTCCAAACCACAAATTGAAATCGTGACTGTTGTAGTAGCCAACTTCAGATCTGAAAAAAAAAATTATTTGATAACTTTAACTTGGGTTTTCATTCTTCACCCACAGAAAGCCCATTCTCAAGGGAGTCTCTTTCGCTGTGCAGTCTGGCCAAACCGTCGCACTCGTAAGTATACCCCCCAAAATTGTTTTTGACTAAATCGACCCCCAAAAATGACTCTTTTCTCAATTGGACAAACTCCTTCCATCAACAATTCTTTCATCAGGATGAACGAAACCTACACCCTTGCTTTTTATGTTTGTTTGTCAAATGGAACATGTGACCTCAAATGAAAACCACCGACAAGTTATCTAGTTTGGTCATAGTTTACAAATATTGATTGCTTTTCGTGACCCGAGCTGTTATGTCTTTTTAGCCTCGAGCCTTGCTTTAAAACCAAAAACATAAAAATCAAACAAATTTCTGGTGCTATGAGCCATGAAAACTGAATTTTCCCATATACGTCGTGTACACAGAGCTGAATTACCATTGGTACATATGAATAATTAATTGGCCATAATTCCAAAACCTTTTGATTGATAGTCATGAAATTTCCTGGGTATGTTCATGATGAATTGTTTTATGCATGTACCGAGTTTCAAAATGTTTCGTCACTCAATGGCCGAGATCTTAATGGGGGCGGGGGGCGGAATCCCCCCCCCCCCACTCTGTTTGCCAATGGACTTAAACTAAATTTCAGATCATGTAAATAAGGCATGGCATATTTTATGGAGTGAGTTGCATCAGCTTTGTTCAAGAGGGTTTTTTTTTTGTTAATTGGGTTCCAGACATTGTCGGCAGTAGTAAATTATTTTTTTCTTCCTTGGGCGGGGAGCCCAAAATTGGGTCGGTCGGAAATAAGAACCGAAGAAATGAAAAGGGACACCCTTATGTCTTGACCTCGTTACAGGTGGGGCCCTCGGGTGCTGGCAAGAGCACCATCATCCGTCTCTTGTTCCGTTTCTATGACATCCAAGACGGCCAGATCAGGATTGACGGCCAGGACATCAAAAAGGTAGGAAGAAAAACTAACATTACCAACCCATATTACTGAAACCACTAACATTTGCTGGATAGCTCATTTATAAGATGGCCAGATCAGGATTGATGGACAGGACATCAAAGATGTAAGGAGAAAAAACAACATTACCAACCCATATTACTGAAACCACTAACATTTGCTGGATAGCTCATTTATTTGGTTAGAGTGATTCAGGTTGACAATGTCATGCATGTAAATTTCTTTATTTTATTTTGTGTTGTGATATGCCATCCTTTCGTCCTCTTAATGGACCAACCCGAATTTTTGTCATAAGCGCATTACTTACATGTAATGAATGGACAATTTAATGAATGGACAATTTTTGATAAGTATTATTTTTGAAGAGAAATTTATTGCACATCATCTCTTTTATGGTCTGGTTCCTGCAAACTAGGTTAGCCAGCATTCCCTGCGGAAAGTCGTCGGAGTTGTGCCACAGGACACAGTGCTCTTCAACAACGACATCAGGTGAGAACTAGCCGGAAAAAAAGAGAATCTATGATCTAGAATTCACTAAGATTACGTTTGTTCCAAATAGTTATATTTATTAGGCACCTAATTTCACAAAGCACTGCGACTGCAACGTTTTGTCACGAGTTGCTATGTGTTACCGTTCGAACGGTAACACAACTCGCGACGTGTCGTACGATCCATTTTACAAAAATTCTGATGCTCTGAACGCATTGCAAGTGTCATTTGCGACGTGTCTATTTGTCGTCACAAAATAAGATGTGTCTTTTCTATGCCAGTTTTATGCCATAATTTAATAAATGAGACCATGATACCGAGACTCATTGTGTGTGAAGTTGTGAATGGAAAGTGCATCGAAATAAGTATGAAGTAACCTTGACTATTACAGTTGAAATTTCAAATTAGTTTAACTGTCCACTGTGAGCTTGTTTTTCTTCAAAATGCATTGTATGACCTCCATTTTTTTTTTACGTTTTAAAAGTTTTTGAGAGAAGATCCGAAGACTGCTTGCTGAATATCAGAAGACTACTTACTGTGCCTGGAATAAATACAGAAAACAGTTACCGTATTGGGCTGTAAATACACCAACGACGCATCGCACTTTTCACATGTTTTGTGAAATGAATTGCAGGGCGCGTTGCAGCTGCCATGCATCGAAGGCATGCAGTGCTCGTTACCACACTTTTTACAAGAATACAGCACCAGACTAATATACTTCTAAAAATGTTATAACATATCAGAAACTTGGGAAGAACTCTAGCTCCAGATGTGATAAGCCCTCCGACTTTAAGAAAATCCAGGTTTCCTGAAATCACATAAATCAACATTTGCCTCATGTGCACTTAACTCACATCAGCTGGCTTCAGTGATCTATGGGACTGGCTGCATACTGACACTGTCACGACATTTATTTTTGGTTTTCCACTTAGGTACAACATCAGCTATGGCAAAATAGGCAGCAGCGAGGAAGAGGTCAGCACTGCAGCAGAGGCAGCCGACATCCACACCAGGATCCTCTCCTTCCCCGACAGTAAGTAGGAATCCAATATTTCTAACCCGCCTGCCCCAGATGCATGCCTAATATCTGGGCCGGCTGGGTGCTATGTATCAACCCAGTCCTGACCCCACTCTGCCAATATTTGTAAATAAACTGGAGTGGAGGGCAATATTGCCCCAGTGTCGGCTTGTCTTCAAATTTGGCACTTGTCACTTGGCACTGTCGAGAGTTGTCGGAATGTCGTTTATAATCAGAATGTTCTATTGAACAGCCGAAAATTTATGTCTCCTAAGGGCCAACCATACACTGTATGGATGAGCCTGTGGCACATACCATGCACGGGATTCTGAGCCAGAATTCAGCTCTGCACTGAAATATCTGCAGTAGTACGTGATTTTTTTAACACTGGTTTTAAAGGTACAGTCCATCATTTGCAGCTATACAAACAGTAAGTTACAAAATTATAGCTGAAAAGCATACTTGGTTTAAAGATAGTAATGGGACTTAACTCCCTGTGAAATCATTCTTTCTGGCAAGCTGTTATTTTCAAGAAAACAATGAAACAAGGCCATTTCCAACGATGCGTCTAAAGACACATCTTTGGAAATTTCATTAGTAGTTCGTTTTTAATTCGGCGAAGCGCGCACAAGCGTTGACCGACGCACACACGTGCGTGGTTGCCATAATTCGTCGGTTCAGTGTGCAACATCACGTGGCTGCAATCGGCTCAGTGAGAACGTTTCCCAGACGCTGATTTCGTGGGCAATTCCAAACATTACTCAGCAACTTTTGATTTGAAATCGAGATCCTAGAATATTGTTTTCTTTATTTGAAGTCTAAACATAAATATTTTTTTGAGCTCTTTGCGACTTTAGAAAGCTATAATTCCAGGTTGACTTTGTTACTATTTATGATTGACAGAAAAGCAGTAAATCTCAAAGTAAGACTCCGTCCAAAAACGGGTGCGTTTTGTCAATGGCTATGGTCATCACTTGAGGATCGTGATGGCCCTCGTTTGAGCGTTCGATTAGCCCGGCTGTCGTGGCTAACCCATCTGCCTTTACCCGAGTCTATCCGCGTGAGATATAGTGTTTTTTTTTATGGCTTCATTATATTTGTTAACCAGAATACAAGACAGTGGTCGGAGAGAGAGGGCTGAAATTGAGCGGAGGTGAGAAGCAGCGGGTGGCCATCGCTAGGACCATCTTGAAAGCTCCTGAGTTTGTGCTCCTAGATGAGGTATGTAGACAGGACCTGGGCCCAATCTTATAAAGCAATTGCCCTCAGGTAAAACCTAACCCACCCCACTGCCTGGGTAAACTTGGCTACGGTCAAAACTTCCATTGATTTCTCCCTCTTATTTCTACCCAATTTTTGATACCCCTTTAATGTGTCTCAATTGAAGAAATAAACCACACAATGTCACACCATCGAATAATTCAATGTGTTGTTCTTACGCACATTTTTTATTCACAAGCCAATCTATAGGAGAGGCGTCTCTGAATGGGATAGAGCCATCATTTCTCTTATCTGAAGACAGAGACCAATTAGCCGAGATTTGGAAACTGCTTAATACAGTCAAGTACATTTACATGAGTACTTTGCCTTGAGTACGAGTACATTGCCATGAAAACCATGAGTGCTTTCTGTGAGTACGCGCACATTATCAATGGGTCCCAGCTGCTTAAAAAGGGTTAAACTCTTGGGGTGCACCGATTGTTCAAGGGGGGCACGTGATGTATTGTTTTTGTACAAGTCAAGATTTTAAGTGGGGGGGGGGGGGGGGGGCACCCAGGTGGGCAGGGACCTCTGCTGAGGTTGGGAGGGGGGGGAGTGTGGACTTGCTTTTCGGGCCCCAATTTGACTAGTTGTTCATGGGTGTTTTTATTGGAAATGATTGATTTCAGTTTTCTATTTCTATTGTGTCCTTTGTTTCACAGGCGACGTCGGCTCTTGACACAAAAACCGAACGGAACATCCAATCCTCGCTTGCAAATGTCTGCGCTAATAGGACAACCATTGTGGTAGCCCATCGCCTGTCCACGGTCATCGGTGCAGACCAGATACTGGTTCTGCAAGAGGGCCACATCATTGAACGAGGAAGGTAGGTTACTCTTTATTGTGGAAAAAGAAATACCTACACCAAATTTGGTAGCTTTATATAAAAAGCCACAAAAATAAAAATTAGGGAGGTAGTGAAAGCGAAAATCTGCCTTTGCTAGTTATGAGTACCTGAAAGGGACCGTGAAATGAATTTTTCTCAGGAACATATTTTGTGCATCATTCTAATCCTCTTAAATGCATCAAAACTATTTTGTAATACCATTTTGATTAATTTTTGCGTCACGGAAACCAAGTTTTGGGGATACTTAACAGTCCTAAATTCTGTATCTCCGTATCTCCATATCTCTGTAGGACCGTATGTTTAAGTTTAGGTTAAGTTTTTGAAAAACATTTACAACTTCTACATGCTTCCGTGGATTTTGCTGAAACTTGGATGCAGTGACCCTTGGGTGGGAAGACACAATTTTTCATCGGATTACTGAGGTCAAAGGTCATGTAGGGGTCGTTAGAGGTCATTCTTTGTCATTCGTCGTTTAAAAATGCACACAATTTGACTTAGTTTAAGAACAGACAACATGCGCTCTTCTTTAAAAATTTACCATGCTTTTCAAGAAGACACTGTTCAGTTTCGGGGTTTTCTTTTCAAATTGTGAACCCAAAAGTTTGCTCATTGAAAACATCTGTGGAAAAAGTTTTCTCACTGGCTTACTGCCATGTACTGACACAACAACGAATCACCAAAGAACAAAAAATTTATGACAGCAAAATATGCAAAACTCTGGCAACTTTTGGTGCTGAAATAGCTGTAACATTGAGGTTTCTGCCTGAAACGACATCACACATTTGCTCAAGAATATGGAAATTCACATTAGCGTAAAAACCAAAAACGCACAAACATACCCTTGAAAATGCCAACATGGAAATTGAAAATAAGGTTAATTGAAAATTTAAACACAAATGGGACACAAAGGTGCATTTCCAAGGATTGTATTAAAAAATTACATTGCGTGGCCCTTTAATGAATTTTTGTATTGTATTTTATTTTGCATGACATTTCCTCTTGGAAAAAGTCACAAAATGTATGTCGTTCAGGAAATGCTGTTTTTGAAGACGGCTTTGACAAAAGTATGGTTACTTAAGGGTCAAGTTACTTTACTTCAATTAAGTTACTTTAGGGTTTAGTATTTTATTTGTCTTGGGCCAAATGCTTTAGTCTTTTCCTGGAGGTACGTTTTCATCTCATTGACTGTCGTGTGTATTTCTGTAGACATGAGGACCTCCTGCAGCTGAACGGCGTGTATGCCGACATGTGGCTGCAGCAGCAGCAAGCCGAGGAAGAAGACGAGAACAAAAGCGGGGACGAAGACGACTCCACGGGGTCGGGACCGGAAAAGCTTGACTGAGACATCCGTAGGTGAGATATAGAACCACAGTACCCGGGCACTGGTCAAATAGCAAAGGCCATGTCTGGAAAGTGTCTTCAGGAACCAATTAGGAATTAAATGTACGGTCGATCGAGATTCACATGCACATATCGAAAATTGATTATGAGTTTTAAAAGGGACATGACTATGTCCTGTAATACGCCCAATTGGGCTACGAAATGCGTTTTGAACAAAATGATGTCAATCGGAAAGCACGTTTAAAAGTAAGATATAAACATCCACACTATCCTTTAAAAACTGTTTTTTGTGTGTGTTATTCTTGTGTTATTCGTGCGAGAACAAATTTCGGGGTCCACTTTTGCAACCCCAAAAAATCGGGCTGTTCATGCTAGTTGTGATTCCAGCCGTAAAGTGCTCGCCTTCTGTGGACGTATAGGAAACCACATTTGTGCATTGGTGCTGTGTGTAATTTATGTGACACACACAACATGTATCGTGCATTGAATGAAAATGGCAGGAAAAACGTATGCATAGTCTGTTGTGTCCGATGTAAACAAGCGGGTTTTTTGTTGTCTTTTGTCGGGAATAGTAAGAAATTATGTTATTTTCCTTTCAGTTTCAACTACACCTTTTAAATAATGTTAGTAAACAATCCAATACATGACATTTTTGGGATATCGGGCCGTAATGCCCCTTTAACAAAATACTAAGAACGTCATGTGTGTATCGATGTAGCTTTTGGAGGTAGCTGACTATAGTTGATATTTTAAAGATTTTAAAGATGTAAACCTACGCAGTTAAAATAAAATCGCTCACAATTTTTCGAATATTTGAATGAGAAAAATCCTGTTCAGGTATTCAGTGGATGACCGAACATTTGAATATTCGGTATATTTTGACCAGCCCTATCAGGTACAAATCTTTTAGAGACTAACTCAAGAAAAATATGGTTTATGCCCCCCCCCCCCCCCCTTAAAATTTTCCGTTTTAAATTTGTTCCAAATTTTTCGGGTAGCCCCCCCCCCTCCATTGAAATCTTTCTCGCTTAGTTACTGGTCGACTCATAATCGTTTACAAAACTGTATTAGCTCCTCCATGGTGCCATGGAACATGTGGAATAAGAATGGTCCGTAGGAAGGTGGTTCCTTAAACTTGTTGCCCTACAAATGCGGGTGGCGGAATGAAAGATTAATAGGCCAAAATGGGCCTTCCACGGTCCACCAGTATTGCTACATAATGTGTATGTCATGCAGGGAGGAAGTAGAGAAGCCATATATATTGGAACAAAATGTTATAGATGTCTTATTTAGAAATAGCCAACTTCGGTTGTTTATGCTAGAAAATGTTTAGTCTGGGATAGGCTCGAATGCGGAGATGATGACCTCATTTTTCTTTTGTACATAAATGTGTTACTGCCGAAAAGACACATCATTTGTGATACTTTGACGGAAGATGTTGGACTTATATGCACCCAGCTTTGAATTATGTGGAATTTTGATAGCAGGAAATGGGCCTTTGATGCCGAATTCTGCGGTTTGGATGAAATAATGGATCGAATGAAGAATAGTGGAATTGAGGAATTAAGAATAATGGAATTACGTCCGCTCCAGCCAGACGGAATTGTGGGGTGATAGCATTGTGTTCCCATTATCCCTATTTCTAAAGATTCTCTTCTGGGGTGATGTTTTTCTATTGTGAAAATAGTGGGGTGATGTGTCCTGAAAGGAACATCACCCCACAAGGGGGGTATGGTCAGAACGTCCCCACAAGACTTTAAAATTGTGATTTTTGTAAATACCAATTTAAAAGAATTGAAAATCATGTGTTACTGAATGGTACCGCATGTTACTTTTCTAGCGTATGTTAATGGAGGGGCGTTTAGACTAATGGTTAAAAATTCAAATGATTATGATGCTATAATCATGGACAGGTTGAGGTTTGGCGTGTATGGTATTGGAGATACAATGTAACAAAAAATGATAAGACAAGTTTTTGCACCGTAAAGACCGTCTAACGTTTCAGTAGCTTACACCTTAGCGGTGCATTATGTGGGCTCAGTACGAGTATGGATGTAAATTTCATTTGAAAAAATCTTGTCAAAATTTTTGTTGAATAAAAATGACACGAAAGATTTTGGGTTGGTTTTCTTCTTGATGCATTTCATATTTAGTAACATTTTTCGTCCATGGAGACGAATATACTGGCATGAGGTTTTTCCAACTTTAGTCTGACGGGACCTTTTGAATCTGAGGAAAAGACATTATCTGTACCGAAAGAAATGCATCTTATAGGGCCCGTGCAATGTATTTTTTATTTAATGCAATCCTTGAAAATGCACCTTTGTGTCCCATTTCACCTTATTTTCAATTTTCGTTTTTTGCCATTTTCAAGGGTAATTTGACGCCTTTTTTTTTTTTATGAATACAAGTCACCAAAATCACTGTAGTCCACAGGTAAGTCTAGTGTAGTGATTTTGGTCTTAAAATCAAGTCCCGGAGCTCAGTCAAGCGGATGGAATAAAGCCGTCCGTGGACAAACAGGTTTGGCACATGACATTTTTAACTATACCATAATCTCAGAAACAAAATATGCATGTGCAATCATTTTTTCGTCACTTACGTTTAAAGATCAATATTTTAATACCATTAGATTGAATTTTTTGAAATATGTGCTCAACAACAATTGCTGTCAAAAGTGGGGTTTCTTCGTTTTGCACCACCCTGGACATTTAAGGAGTAGAAAGTTGCACAAAATGTGTTCCTAAGAAAAGTTCATCCCATGTACCCTTTAATCCATGAGACCATTGATCAAATTTTCAGACCCTATTTTTTTTTATTGACAATCTCATCACAAGATACACCTTTTTCTGCGGCATGCCGCTGTTTTCTTCTCAAGTATTAGAAGGTGTGGAAACGCAAACCGCATTATGTGTTTTTTTTCCTGGTTTCCGACCCGTCCTCGGGAATAATAACATCCGAATTCCACCGGCCGGCCCTGCCTAGCGCCGCGCCGGCCGGCCCGGGGACACCACAAGGAGTGGCGCGGTGCCTCGCTCTCACCCCGCGTCCGCCTTGAGACTGAGCCAAAACATCTGTGGACGGACGGCGAGCCGCGGTTACTTTTTTTTCTGCAACCCAATATTCTCACTGACCGTAATGCGCAAACGTCAGTTGCTCTCGGAAATGGTTCTCCGAATTCACTGTCATTAAAAAAACAAAACTCTCCAGCTAGTAATGCGAATAAGAATTTTGATGGCCCTAATATTTAATGCACGTAAAAAGAGCACTCGATTTAACACAATTAAAGGTATAGGCCATCATTTGTATTTTGTGCATTTTGTTCGTTTCAAAAAATTAACTTGGAAATAATATACTTCACAGTCCTGACAGTCAGGACTTTCATATTTTTTGCAGAAGGGCTAGAGCATGTGAAAGAAGAGGGTACAAACATCAAAAATTATTTTTAGAAGTGGATGGATTTAGGGGTTAGTATTTTATAGCAAATATTGTTGCACTGACCTGTTTAAAGTTTTGTGTTCATAGATGCTGGAAAACCAAGAAAAGATGTTGTTTTGTAGTCTGGTTCCCTGGCCCTACTTCAGATGAAACGGAGCAATTTGTAGACGCCTGCGAATTGCCAGGTCAGGGAGCCAGACTAGCTGGCTTGCACCCGTTCACGGATGTGTAACCGATTGCAAACAAAATAGGGACTAACTAAACTTGGTAAATTAGGGGCAGTATTTGAAGAAAAAAAAGTCTCTTTTATTTATCAACGATGGTCGGTCACGTTGGAAATTGATACAAAAATTCCTCTTTTCCTGAAAATTGCAGCACGTAAGGTGTCATGATTTCACAGGATGCTTGAGACTATTATTGAATTACAGTCAAGTAAGGTATTTCATAATAGTTTGATAGTTTTGTTTATGTTTGCAATTGTTGTATATTACCTTAAGGTGCGTTTCAAAATTCGAACTGTTGTACACTTGAAAGTTCAACCTAAAAATGAGAGAGATACATTGACTGCATTACGCACAACACCATCTTGTGGCAATTACGATATTGTGAATAAGACGCGTTCTGCATTGGTCTGTCCCCAGCGCCCGTCCACTCGGCAAGAGTCTAATTCAAACCGACATAACGAGCCGCCAGTAGCAGCATTTTCACCACGGGGCGCTAGCGATCTAAAGCCCCGACGGTCCGCCGGAATAGGCGCGGTGCGGCGCACCAGTCCGAAACAATCACTTTCTTTCCCGGACTCTCTTCAAGCATTAGAAGCCGGCTTACTTTAAGAGAGAGGGGGAGTTTCTGTACTGTAGTCGGACATTTTTTTGTATCTGCTTTTTATTTCGTAATGAAACTTAATTCAGCTGGCGACGTCAGTGCGTCGACGTCTTGAGTTTGCCGCGCTACCCCCTGCGAAACATGTTTGCCTCTAATTTGGAACGAAGGTTTGTGACTTGTAACATTCTGCGAAAATTTGGAACGAGTGTTACAGATATGTGGTGCCTGACATTTAGTATAGGCCCACAATCCGACGATGTGGTGTCATTTCAGGAAGACACTGTTCGGTTTAAGGGCCGTTTCTGTTCAAATTGTGAACAAGCAACCCTACAGATCTGACAACAAAACAAGTTGAATCGTCATATTGCACAATTTTACATAGGTTTCGGCTTTTCACATTCTCTGTAAACACTATTGTAGGAGCAACAGAAACCTCACCACTTAAACTATTACAATTGTGACAGTCTAAACCCATCCAATCCTTGCGTGACCGGTGTGTCTTTTTCGTTTTACGAAAAAGTGAGCTATTCGTAGTATAATAGTATAAACCTTAACTGAAAAAAGGTCGGATTACTGCCGCAGCTGCTGCAAAACCCGCACGTGTGTACGGAATTGAACTATATGGCTAGTTGAAGTAATTGAATTGCATTTTGTTGTTCAATTAAAATTGTCAACTCGAAAGTAAACCCATGTCGAATTGGGTGGGGTCGTCCCCCCCCTCCGAAACTGACCAACCTCAACTCCGACTACGCGAAGATGTAAGACATTTTTAAGGTATAGATCGGGGCGAAGTGACGTTCATTGCACACCAGTTTTCATCGGTTGCGTGCTATGTGTTACCATTCAGCACTCCAGACTCAAGAACCATTGAGTTTCAAGAACATAGGTCTGGGAGCTAGATAAGCCAATGTAAAAAAATGATCCCGGATGCCCACGCCCACCTGCAAGCAACGTTGCGAGCGACGTCCCTTTAAAGCGACGTCCGAGTACTCAACGGAGCAGACCCTTTACCATCAGCGGTGCAGTATTAACTTGAGGGAGAATGTGAGCAATCTCCCAGGCATCGTATGAATGACTGGCAAAATATACAACGCTCACCGCGGACAGGCGGGAGTAGAGTTTAAGCGGCCTTGCTGACAAGCACCGCCGCCTCATCAAGTTTCAAGTCGGCCAAAAAAAAAAGAGAGAGAGACAATATGCCGGTAAACTTAGCCCTTGGTGTTTAGATGATTATAATGATCTACCCACCGAGACAATTTTGTCGTGGAGACAGCCGCTGGAAACTTGCCGCATGAGGTATTTTTTTTTTTTTAACTTGTGGCAGTAACCCCGCTTCAGTTCTCCTTATAATATCTAAAAAGATCCTGGTCATATTTGACCCGCAATCCGGGTCATATTTGATCCGGAATCTGTGTCATATTTTACCCGGAATCTGGGTCATATTGATCCGTAATAATTTTGACCCGAAATAATTTTAACTGTAATTGACATGCAGAAGATGTTCTTTATTGCTTTTTCTACCATATAAAGCTACTTTTAATGTTCAAAAGCATATACAAAATTTGTTGATGCTTGTTGACGACCGTTGACGCTTGTTGACGCTTATTGACGCTTGTTGACGCAGTTTAGTAGGACCCACAGTAATTGTATCTTCCAGACGTGCCAAGTTGAAATCCCGAAATACAGATATTGATGTCTCCATTTTAAATCTTGATATTTTTATCTGAAATAGAGATACATGTATCTTTATTTTTAATCTCGATATCTTTATTTGAAATAGAAATATCTTTACTTGAAATAGAGATATACTTATTTTAAATTTGATAATTGCTTCAACAAAAGGCACTCTTGCGTCAGTAACTATCCTGGTGGAGTTTTCCTCCAAAATCTGCACAAACAGGACCTTAAGTGCTTTCTCCCCTATTACGAGCGACCTTCCTACCCCGCCACAGCCCTGCTACCCCCCTATACCGAACGCCGGCCCACTGACGCTCCGTCCGCGGTAGAAATTACGCGGGCGCCGCTCGTATACACACAAACCGGCTCGAGAAAGGGACCGAAATTAAAAAAACGCAGCGGTGAACGCGACGTCGTAGGGCGATGGTCTCTTTGAATCTCCACCGTCAAGCCGCAAAAGGAATAAAGGGAAGAGGAAAAAACATAATAATCAGTATTTAAACTTCGGAACAAACTATTTGGCGGCGCGGTTTCTTGTCAAAGACGTTCCCATTTTGGGCTAGTTAAATATGAAACTTCACTGTGCCGCGTTGTTTATAATACAGTGCATGTGTTTTTGGGCAAATGGTTTTCGCAGAGCAAGTTCCGTCTGGGAGTGAAAAAGAAAAACACGAAGACCGGCAAGGCACGTGTTATTTACAAAGACGGTTGCGCTTGAGCCTTGCTATGCCGCGGAAGCATAGAAATAATTACTGTTAAATTGGAGGGCATACGCCGAAGGCATCACATTAAGTATAAGCCTACTCCGTATGGAATGTTTACGTGAAATTGATGAACATCGTCTAATATAATTCTTCACTACTGTGTGAGAATTCACAACTGAACCGCGAGTCTCGCAACTTGAGCTTAACCAACAAAGTTACGAGTAGCTCAGTAAATGTGCGGCTTGCAAATGGGCCGTCTGGGACCGTCAAACGCGCCGTAAGCACCCATCAATCACACAGCTCGTTAGGTCTGTCAAAACACCACACCGCACATGATAGAACCACGCCGCGGCTGGTCGTAATACAGCTGCACGCTGGCACGGTGCACTATTTTTATGTTTTCAAAATGCAAATCTATTTTTGATATCCCAGTCCTTGCGCGAGAAAAACAAAGACCGAATGACAAACAGTAT